AAGCACTCGATAGAAACTTCCATAGTTCTACAGTCAATAATCGTCATACAGAATATCAGTCGTACACATCAATTCCATTTTAGATGAACATTAATTTGGTATATAATAAATTTTTATATCATTTGTAGTTTCAGCTCTACCCCCATGGAAAAATATTATTTCCAACCGTGTATATTATGAGATGGAATTCCAAAGTTCTCCAGGGAACTACCCGCAGGATTCTATAAGATTCTGCATCATTCAGCTCGACTGTGCAATTTCGGAATCTTATGGGGTTTCATAAAGCCTCTTGAAATCCGCTGTTTCTCTACATGCCGTATACGCCCTATTTTAGGTTTTTATGAAAAAAATCAAAATTTTTGCATCTTTCTAAAAAACCAAAAGGTTAATCAAAACATCTCCTAAATACGCCTTTACTATACCGCCTTTATCCATTACATTTGTACATAGAATTCTCCACCTATAAGAACACACAGTACACAGAACAGTTTTTACTTAATGTTGAATCACATAGTATGGCAATCATCATATATCGACGATTGTTTAGTTATCATTTGTGCATCGTTGACTAGGATGATAAGTAGACTGGTCAATATACTGGAAAAAAACACCTGTTTCCGATATATTTCCCGAACTGTAGCTCGTACAAAGTTTCGTCCTGAGATAGGGCACATCTACATAATATAACAAATATAAAGTCTGAAGGAACCATATTGATCAGATGAGGCGTTGATAGAGAAGTGCCCGTCACCAGGTTATAAATCTTATGGGTTTTACTAAAAGTTTGACTTCGGCTCGACCTATAGCTGCGAGACAGGATATAAACAGACGACATTACCACTAGGAGCTCTCAGTGCAGATAAAATTTTTCTATTATACCTTGATTCTGTTCATTTTCTATATTGCTTTCGTTCTCGTCGTCATGAAAACCATTGATACTCAGATCCGTCACATAATTCGCTTGAAGATCGTTTATTTTGATTTGTTTTAGACCAGCTACGGTTATATTCAAACATCTCTCGCGATAAAATTTCGTATGAAAAACGGATGAAAAAACATTTTTATTGCACACTATTTGCCAATTTTTCTCTTTTAACCAATAATCTGTTTGAAATGTTGATAATATTTGTGTGATGGCTGTTGAACTAAGATTTTGATACATATCACAATTAAAATAAAAGTTTTCTAATTGAACCAAATATTGAGTAAATAAGGATTTCCATTTATTTCCATCAATAAAGTCAAAATTATGATCAATATTAGATATTGTGATCGATAGTTTGCCAAGATGAACGAGACACTTTAACAATAATCTAATAGAATTAAACGATATGGTTTCCAATATTATTAGATTAATTGAACGTAAAGGTATTGATTGTAAATCGTCATAATTTGTAACTGTTTCATCACGTATACCTATTACAACATAAAAAAAGAAAGCTACAATAGAAGATTATCTCTTAATACAAGTACAATGTCTGTTTCTTTTATTAAAATACGAGTTATCCTTTAACAGAAGTAAAATGTAGCCTCATAAAGGTCGAACAAAAAAGTTTCTACACTATATTCATACAAGCCTTATATGTGGCTCTTGAATGCAAAAACCGCATCGCGGTAGCTTCTTGCGTTGCGGAGCTATTCGATTTCTCATAATGCTGCATTCTATTTTGAAATGGATAGTAATTCAATAAAACTTTTGGAAGAACGATATCGTGGGTAGACCGATCGAACAGATTGAACTTTTCGAAAAAAAACCTAGTGTTTTTTTCCCTAATAAAATAGTTTCTTCTTGATAGAGATTTTGTTTTGTTTCTCTAATTAGATGATTTTCCACCCTTTATAGAACGAAAACAAATAGTACCATATAATTTTTTTCTAGGGAGAGGCTTGTCTACGGACCGGATAAAAGTTTTCTTTTAGTTTTAGATTTAGAGCCAATTACTGGCAAAAAAAAGACTAGTTTTCCTCGGTTCCGGGCAAGTGATTTGGGGCCTCCAAAAAAAAGCTGGGCTTAGGGAGAACGAGTCTTCGTCCCAATACAACCACTGTAATTTATACAGAATTTCACTTCTATCTCGCCGTACCGTATATATTCTAGATTTTAATGGATGTGGCCAAGTGTCACCATTCCTCATAAAAATATCCAGATTGTTTACAGCTTAAGTCAGAAGAGATAGTCGCTCCGATTGAAAATTTTTCAATCGGTTCCAACTCTGGTAGTAGTGACCTTAATGTATTCACTATGATACGCAATTCACTTTATCAGCACTCTACAGTTTTCTCATTTGACATCTGTCTAAAAATATTATATAGAAAAACGTTGTATAATTTAAGTTGCACCAATATTCTTTCCTAACCTTTGTACGAACATTCTAAATGTTTTAATTTTGGCATAAAATGAAATAATAAAAATAAATCATCAATAAAAAGTGTTGTATGTCTATCAATTGATAAAATTTCTACATTTGATTTATTTATTTCACTTAAATTTAATGTTTGACAAAAGATATTAACGTTAATTAATGTACATTTTTTTAACGATATCATTTGTTCACACAAAATATATTTCAACATAGTAGAATTGAAATCAAATTCAATATATAATGTTGTTAAATGTTCTAAATATTTTAATTTGATGACCATTAACACACTTGGATCAGTTAATGTTAATATTTCAATATTAGAATAATTCTTAATTTCAAACCATGTATTAAATAAATCGCATGCATTAGCTGTATCACGATTAGATAATTTTAATGAAATTAAATGATGTTCTACATTCGGTAGAATATTTTGACAATAATTCAAAAATTTTGCATATGTCACACGATTTTGATACAACGGTGTATAATAGTCAATCGCTGGGGGACATTGCATGGGAGTTAGATCAATCGATATTTTTACGCTATGTGTAACATTGTTTAAACGTGTATTCAAATTATATAACGCATGAATAAGATCGTAATGCGAAAGATAATGAAATATTTTCAAAAATAATTCGTCTGGTAGATTTTCAAGTAGCATTTTTGTTTTTTCGTTATATCTAAACAAAAAAAAATAAGTGGAAGAATTGTAGCGTGTGTCATGAGAACATTTAAAATTTTCCTAGCCAGAATGGAGGAAGAAGATTTCGTCACACCTTTCTTCTTTTCCACAAAAGTAGTGACAAATCATTGTGCAGACTATAGGAAAGAACAGGGAAGTTAACTTTTATAGTTCGTCTACAAAGCTCAAGTGTATTAGATGCTAGCTTCGTGCAAGGATTGATTTTGTGTTTTACTAGTTTAAGTTTCAGAATGATATAATGGAAATTTCTATTATTGATTTTGTTCTAGTTCAAGATTAGAAAATACTTAAAACAAAATAGTGAGAATTTCTGACTAAAACTGGTTTACTAGTACGACTTGATGCAGAGCTTAAATTATACTCTAAAGACAAAAAGGATATGAAATTTCATCTAAATGAAAGTATCAAAAATTTTGTTTTTCTATGGAACCGAAGTAGCAGTGGCGGATCTAGCACTACGTCGGTTCGGCGCCCGCCGCCCCCTCGCAAATGAATTCTTTTGCAAGTATACTACCAGACTTCCTTAGAAAAAATATTCATACT